CGGTAGAGTTGTATGCAGGTGGACCAAGCAGTTAAAGTGTGTACGCTTATCCCCAGAAGTTGGTCATACACATTTAGCTCTTCGCAGGTCGAGACTGAGGTCTCCAACAGAGTATGGTTATCCCCTGAGGATCGAGATTGATATCCCTCAGCTGTTGGTTAGTACACATTTAATCCCTGCAAGTTGCAGGTATGAACTTACTCTCCCAGCGAGTCGAGTTCGGATTTCTTTCCACCGTGCAGGTGTGGAACTTTTCCCAACAGCGGGGCAATGTCAGGTGTTATCTCCCCACAGAGTTTAAGCGTATAACTTTGTATCACCTCAGAGTTCGAGTTATTGACTCATCCCCAAGCAGAGGTCGATGTTATTTCCCTCCTTGGGAGATCCCCAGTAGAGTTGGCTTTTCCCCTAGCAGGTTAGCAGAGTTGTCTCTATCCTCAGCAAAGTCAGCATGAAGTAGTTTTATTTCCCTGCAGAGACAGACTATTTCCCAGCAAGTTCGGTAAGTTTTTGATTCCCTGGCAGAGTGGATCTATAGCAGAGGTAGATTGTGCCTCAGGTGAGTAATTCCCGATAGGTTGGGTTTTGACTACTTTCCCAATAAGTCGTCACTTTCAGTTGAGTATTTGTGAGCCATTCAGGGTTAATTTTCTTCAGCAGGGCGTGTTGTGAATCTCGGGGGTTGATTCTGGATTCCCCACAGAGTTGTTGATCCCGCAGTAGGGTGAATTTGTTTTCAACGTCTGGTTGTCTATCCCCGGTAGAACCGTCTTTTCCCCAGAAGAGTTGTATTCTGGAAGGCCGTTCAGGGCATTTTCCTCAGCAGGTTTTGACGTGAATCCCTAGCTGAGTTTGAATTGCTTGTTCTCGTAAGAACTTTGCAACAGTAGTTCCGTCGTCTGGTTATTCTTCAGGTGAGCTGATGTGTTTGCCTACGTGTATTGCTTTGACTCATTGACCTTGGTTGATGGACGGCTGAGATTGTGCTGACCAGCGTGTGTGGATTGTTGACTTGCCATGTCATTAAATGATACGTTGCGTTTTGTGCAGCTTCTGAGTTGATTTCGCATTGGGCCTGGCTTGCTGTTTGCACCCCCCTATGATCTGACCCCATTGATTTTAACTGTGGATCTTACTATTCACACCGTTTCTTTTATTTCTTTTATTTTCTTTTTTATTTCATTTCTGTTTCATTTTAATTCATTTAAAAATAATTTTAAATGTGATAAAATCCCTCAAAAATATTTTTAGGACACTTCAGGGTGTTAACTAATTTTTGGAAATTTTTATTTTCATTTTTGGTTTATTTTTCATTTAAAATGGGATTTTCTATTTGGAGTGGTTTTTAAATGAGTTTTAAATGGTTCTTTGGTGTTCATGCCTTGTTTGTGGACCATTCTTTCTTTCCAATGATTGAGACTCTTTTCTCATGTGAATGATGAATTGAAGAGTCTTATAGGGTGACTTTGCCCCTGGGTTGACCATTTTTTGTTTGACTTTGACCTCATTTTATTTGACCCTCGACAACCCTACTTCAAAGTGGTGCATCCTTGTGAATCAAATTCTTTGATGATGCTTTGAAGTGACTTTGGTTGTGATCTTTTGGCCCCTGGTTTCCAACTCTTTTGTGTGCATTTGAGATTTTATTTGGCTATTTTTGAGCCTTTTTCCTATTTTTGAGGTAACTTGCAAGTCAAGTTACTTCTAAGGGTGGTTCATACAAGTACTTGACCTAGTTTGATTTGGAAATGACACTTGTGAATCCCTTAAGCTCTCAACTCTTCTTAATTCTTATTATCAACATGTTGAGCTTGCTAGATATCAATTTATAGGTCATACACATGCTTTCTTCTTGTGTTTGAGTTACATTCTTTTAGGCTTTCCATTTGAACTTCAAATGTTGAATGTGTTTAAGACTTATGTCTTTCTCCATGCCTATTCTTGCAATTCCTTTTGGTGTATTTGATCTTTGCTTTGTGCATTATTTCCTCTCATCCCCACTTCTATCCAAGGATCCTTGAGTCTCATTTGAGATGGTTTGGTCCCTCCTTTAGAGGTACTTTGAACATATCATGAATGGTGATTCTTTGAGGACTTTTCTTGTGTTTGCTTGCATGATTATGGTGTTGCTTATGGTTGAGTTGCCCATTTGAGTTCCTTGCTATCCTCAAATTGCCTCCCATTCTCCCATTTAATCATGGCTTCTTCCCTTTCTTTTGGTTTGCCTTTGGGCATGGTGATTGATGACAAATGGTTATAGGAAGTTCATTTCTCCCATTTCATCTCACTCTTGTTTGTGTTCTTGTTTGTGTGTGTGCATTCTTTCTTCCTTCTTATTTGCATCTTCTCATATGCATGCTTGAGGTTGAGATGTGCTTGTGGAGGCTATTGCCCCACACTTTGTTCCTCCCTCACTTTCATTCTAATTGTGCATTACATGTTTGTATACTTGCATTTTCTTATGGTTTCTTCTTCTTCTTTTGTCTTTCTTTGCCATGTTCCCTTAGGACCTATAATCTCTCTTGTTCAAGATTGATTATGATATACCTTAGGCTTGAACCCATGTATGATAACATTAGGTAGCATTCCTTTTCATCCTAATCATAGGTGCACTTTGTATGAGAACATTAGGTTGAGTCTTAGTCTCCCTTTAGAGTGTCTCTCTCTTCTCATCTTCAAACTTTCTCAAAACATCTAATAAAGGCTAAGGATTGTTATACGTTACGAGCCTTAAGTACCTGGGAAATGGTGATTGGGGGGCCTCCTCCCAATTATCTAGAGTGTTTAGCGTATGTCCTTTGGACGATATGCGACGCATTCGCTCCTAGGTCATAGTCTTTAGTGCAACATGAGTTTCAAATCATAACTCAATTCACTTCTTTGTCTAAAAAACACAAAAACAAACTTCAAATCTTTTTATCCTTCGGGATCTTAATTTGGAAAACCTTTTTCATAAGGAGAGTTTTGTTAACTCTTGGTTCTACCGCAAACAGGTAATGCCTAAGTCTCCAATGGTCGAGTTGCATACACCTAACTGCTAGAACTAAGTTTTAACCCTACTCGGGTAAAACATTTGAACCAACCTGTGGTCTTTGTTAGCCCGAACTACGTTTGCTCTGATTTCTCGTACCAGATGAGAATACGTAGGCACAAGACGGTGACGTCTTGGCGAGCAACCTTCCCTACCTTTCACCCGTAGTTAGCCGAACTACGTTGACTCTGACTTTCCCATTGCATGAGGGAATACGTAGGCATAGAGCGGTGATGCTCTATCGAGTCTCTTTTCTTTTCTTTTGTCCCTGAGCCGTAGCTTAGATAGTAAACACCCTTTTAGATAGACAACAAAACGTGGATCCCGTCAAGTACGATGAACGTGAGGGGTGCTAACACCTTCCCCTTGCGTAACCGACTCCCGAACATAAGATATGGTTGCGATGACCTGTCTTTTCCCTTTTTCGTAGGTTTTCTCTGATCGTTTCCTTTCCCTCTTCTGGGATAAATAACGAACGGTGGCGACTCTTCTGTCATTGTCGGCCCCTCTTCGCAGCAATGCGACAGGGCTCTACAAACATGGTAACATTACTTGCTACCCAAAGAGTTTCATGTTTGATTTTTTATAGATGCTTTAAGAAATAAGAGCATTAAGTTGTGCAACATACATGGTAATTATAGTCATTATTAGGTAGTATAAATGAGCATTGCGTTTTGTCTCTTTTTGATTTTCCTATGTTTATGCCATTTTTGTTTTTCTGAGTTGCAAGTAACTACGAAAATATATTTCTATATTGTTGTAAAATATATTTCTATATTGTTGTAGAATTTAATTTTCAAAGAATACGGAAGTGCTTTTCCATATTTTGTCTGTATGTCGTGTTTAGTTTGATTTTGAAATACTAAAATATGTTTAAATTATGTATTTATTTTATAACAAAAAATTAGTATTTTTAAATTAGCTTGTAGCTTTATGCCTAAAATTTTTGTTTTCGCTTTTATTTTATCTTTTTAAACATGAATTCAAATATAATATATTTGCTTTAAATTGTCACAAAAAATACATAATTTTAATATGTATTTCTATAAGTGTAATTGGTGTTAAAAAAATCACTAAACTAAAATAGTTTCTAACACGATCCAAAAATTTCACAAATATTTAATTAAATTTTTAAATTAAATTTATTTTAATTGTGTCCATAAATTTTAAATAAGTTATAATCACATTCATTCTAAATTTTAAAATAATCATATTTAGATATCAAGTCTCAGCAACTTGTGTCTTAAAAATACATGTTAAGAAAAAATGCTGTGGAGAATCTCCTTCCACTTCGTCCTTAAAGGCGTGTATGGGAAAATGAATGATTTTTTTTTTTTTGGGATGTTACATCTTTTCTTCGTCTCTCATTGTGCTTCACTCTAACACAAGAAATTAGTCACCCAATTTATTTAACTAACAAAATTTTCCAATGTTCACAAAAAACAGATTAAAATTCCCATGTTTGTAAAAAGTTGATATCACTTATCTTTTGCACATAAATATAACATTTCTTTCATTCATAAACATGTGAATTTGGTTTTCAAAGGTTCATCAAACATCAAAATCAACCTGTAACAACATATTTTTTGTCATTACTCCTTAAGATGACATCAAAACTATTGAAGAAAAAAATTGATTTGGATGCTTAATGAAAGACTAATGTAGATCACATATATCTTTGAAGAGCAAAATAAACATGATTCCCACTCCACATTCATTAGATTTTGATGCATGATCCAAATTGAATCCTCTATAGTTGAACTTTACAACGCAGTCAACTGGAAATCGTTAAACTAAAGTAGAAAATTTATTTTAGTCGGACTGCAAGGTGAAGCCGGGTCTAGAGGATGCCAATGTGATTAGTGCATGCCAATGTGGTTAGTAATTGACAGAAAAGTATGCCATGAGGAACCACTTTGTACAAAATTGAAGAATATTCAAAAGGTGGACAAGCGATAACTTATATACCTCATTTGCTTATTCCAAACAACATTTCCAAGCTATCAACATTACTTTCTTTATTTTGATCAATTACAGGAGGAGATGAATCCTTCTTGTAATCAACAGCCAATTTCAGTCGTAAAGGCCGGCCTTGAACCTCCTGAAAAACATTATGTTATATAGTACATGCAAAGAAAGTTGTTACATAGTTAGATTGAGATATCACAAGATGAAAAAGAGTTGCAAAATTAATAACTGAAAAAACTCGTTCGTACCATGCCATTCATAGCATTCAAAGCAGCTTCTACATCCTCAGCAGTTTCGAATGAAACAAACCCATATCCACGAGATTTTCCGTTGCTCCTTTCATAGATGACCTTGGCACTCAGTACGCCTTGTTGCTCGGCAAAGGATTCTCTAAGATCATGGGAAGTCATATCCCAACCAAGGTTTCCGGCATAGATTATGTGAGGGCTGTCTACATAACCTCTATACTTTGAGCTCATTTGCACCCCTTTGCCTACTTTGGGTACTTCTGGGAAGTTTACCTTAATAACCCTACCTCCAAGATTCTGTTCACCATCATAGCCACTGCCATTAGAATTGAGCTATGATTGTTTGTTCAATGCAGTAAACAGTAGCGTTGCAATTGACAATTTGGAACAGAAATCCAATCGGATGAGAATTGCAATTGAACAATCGGTCAACTTGGATTGACGTATTTGAGCTTATCTACCGACATGTCCATAAGATGTTTTCAATTTCGTAAGTTCTTCATGATAGCTTATGAAAGCAGTCTAAAGGTTATATTAAAAAGTTTAACTTTATTTTGATTTTTGTTATAGAAATAGCTTATAGATAAACACTATGTTATAAGTGCTTAATTAAGTCATTTATCCAAACAGGGCCTAATTTCTACTCAAAATGATAATAAGACAAGAAACATGAAATTGGCCCTAACTAATTTCAGCAACTGAGACTTACAGTGCCCTCGAACATTCGAATTGCTTCTTCAGCCTCCTCCACGCTCCCCATTGTAACAAACGCAAATCCTCTGCTTCTATCCGCGATGTCATCATACACAATCTGCATAACTCAAACCAAACAAAAAACACAGCTCAAAACAAAAATCACCCAATAATCCAAAAACAAAAAGATCTTACATTTAACAACAGAAAGGAGCAATTTGATTAAAATTTTGCAATTTCAGGGATTACTTCAAATACTGACAGTGAAAGGAACTAAAATGACAAAGTTCTATAAACCCTAATTGGGTATTTCCTCCGTTATCGATGAAAAGGGGCAGGAAAGTTCCAAACCTCTACAGACACAACATTTCCAGCTTCTCCAAAGAGTTGAGCTAATTGGGAAGAAGACAGTGAAAATGGCAAGTTACCAACAAAAAGTCTCTTTGATGGCGACAAATTTGGGTCTGGATTTTGCAAGGTTTTAGGTTCTGTTTTAGGATCATTTTCTTCTTGGGTGAATTCGAATTGATGGAACGAAAATGAAGGTGGGTGGAGTTTGAGAGAAGAATGGTTGAGTAATTGGGGATTTAGAAAGAGGGGTTTTGAGGATATGGTTATTGTTGTGTGTGGGAAGTTGAGGGTCTGGGGAAGGGATGAATGGATAAATGAGAAGTTGAAGAGTTTGTGGTGGTAGATAGGGGAGGAAGCAGTGATTGCACCAGCCATGGATATGTTTGCTATGTTAAAAACTTTGTACCGCAAGAATCCTTTTTGTTTTTGATATATAGAAGTTTTGGGATAAATTTTATGTTTGAAAAAGGAGTAGTGAAATATGATTTTTTTTTTTTCTAAAGCAAAGAAAAATTTCATAAAAAAAATAGAAAGAAAACCGAGGAAGATAAACATGATCGAACAATCACATATTAAATTTAAATGGAAAAAATAACAAAACAAAAGTGATGAAGAGTTTGATGCAAAGCAAATATGTGCATATAAAAGCACAATTTAACGAATTCAAGGTGGCGTCCAAAACCAAATTACAAAAAATTATGTGTAAAAATAATCCACCGTTTTAAAAAATTAGAAATTAGTTTAAAGAATTAAATTCGTCTGATTAAGAATGGTGAATATCTCTACCGTCAACACCAACAATACACATATCAATTGTCTTTGTGAATTGAAAATCATATATATTTAATAGCCCTTTCGAGACAAACCAATCTAGACTGCGACGAGTAAGCTCTAAGACATCCGAACGAACATAAACATATCAACACATTGATAATTTTCTTGTCACATAAAAACTTGGCAATTAGCGGCTCTATTTTGTGCTTTCGATTGTTGAGTTCCATAAGTTTGCATAAAATGTCATAATATTTATATTTGACTTTGGTTTTCTTGATATGTGTGTTAAGTTGCAGAAAATGTTGCAAGAAATCAAACTTTAAGGCACAAAACCAAGAAAAAGGAACAAATCTAATGATATGGAGTTTCAGCATGCTCGCCCAGCGAGCACTGGCGAAGGAAAGGCGAGCTCGCCCAACGAGCTCTGGCAAGGCAGGGGCGAGCCAAAATAGAAACATTCTAGTAGCAAAACTTGTCATGGTAGCATAACGAGGATTTGATGATTTGAGTTTGCCGAGCGAGGCTGTGGTCGTCGGGCGAGACAAGATATTTTGCTGAGGGTGGTTTGATGCTTTTCTGATTGAGGTATGGTCCAAAAAGTGACTTTCGTTGGGCGAGGTCATGGTCATTGGGCGAGGCAGGAAAAGTACAACTTTGTATAAAAGGTTCCTAATCAGATTTTTGGGATCTCTCTTACATTCTCTTGAACCAAAAACCTTAAAACTCAGTGGAAGAACAAAATACCTCATAATCGATTAATCGGAGCTGAATATGTAACACCCCCTTCTATACTCCCAAATAAACAATAAATCATTTAAGCACATATTAAAATTTCATCAGAGTATAATTAAAACATGGTATAAAAGAGGTATGTAACATCACACACAAAGTTGAAACATACAACACCTGCTCTATAAAAGACATGCAACAGTGGGGTAGCTTCAACAGAGGAACTTAGTCCTTACACCCACATCTCAATATTTAGAATTAAAAACGGAAAAATCTAAACATTGAATCATTTAAACATGTAATCATATAAATACATATCATCCAGTTTGATTCACCACATCATTCATGTTTACATAAGCATTTGTCAGCAGATACATATACAAATATATCACAAAAGAATACTATACAATCCTAATTACCCGGTGATACATATCAGAGCTAACCGACCAAAAGAATGAAGCTATACTTCACAAAAGACCTCCAGCAACCTAATCTGCAATGCCTCATAGAGCATTATAAAACAGCAGAAGGGTGAGAAATATTATCATAATAATCAATGCATATAACCATATATATATATATATATATATATATATATATATATATATATATATATATATATATATATATATATATATATATATATATATATATATATATATATATATATATATATATATATATATATATATATATATATATATATATATATATATATATATATATATATATATATATATATATATATATATATACATGTATAGAATACACATATTCCGCATTTCTCACCACAATTCATTATCATCATCATATACGTCACAATATATGTATAAACAAATATGGATAATCACCAAACATATTTCATCATGCACACATCCATAATCCTCAATTCAACAATTCATACACAAGCATACTTTCATATAACAATGATATCTATGCCATGTAACTCGATGCAACTCAATGTAACTCATGCCATGTGGTACCAACACTTGTTATCATTTTTCAGTTCTTACATTTAAACCGGGTCCGTCCCCTAGACCGATAACAACAAAAGCCTGTCCTCTAAGCTTTCAAACCCACCCTTCTAGGTTTGGGACAAGTCACTAGTCTCCACGAAACTAGCAAGCATTTGCCTCTTGACTAAATGATGCGTATGCAATCAACAACCATATGCACTTAAGACCGTTCTCGCATCTTAATCCCATGCATATTCAAATAATTCATCACACAAGAATTATATCACGATTGCACACTCACACATCATATCAAAGTATTCATACTTTCAACATCATCACATTTATCAAGCAATGCACACATATTCACAATATGTTCTCATGCATTATTCACAATATTGCATACAATCAATATGCACTCACAATCCAATACCATCATCATATTTATCAAACAATGCACACATATTCACAATATGTTCTCATGCATTCTTAATCAATTCAAACAATGCACATATTTGTCAAAGAAACCACATTCCACAATCGATTCCACAATCTAGGACTCACGCCATACGGCTACCCACAGCATATATATATATATAACAACACACAATTACTCATTTCAGATCAAGATTAAACACAATCGAACCAAACAATCAACATTGGATGGAAACACAAGGAAATGAAAATGTTGTCACACTCGCTAGCTTTCTCACCTAGCGAGTTCCTAGCGAACATTCGCTACCTGTTCGCCTAGCGAACAAGCTCGCGAAGGCAAACAGAAGCTACTGTAAGGCTTCGCTACCCACTCGCTGGGGCTTCGCCTAGTGAACCCCTCGCTACCTCGCTCTCTACCAGCGAAGAAGGTCAAATACATTCTGTCCAAGTTTGGGACCATTCGCTACTAGCTCGCTACAGCGAACACTCGCAACCTGCTCGCCTAGCGAAGGTGCTAGCGAACGTCTGCGATGTTCAAAACCCCAACTGTCCAAAATTTATCAGAAGCTCCCAAATCACTCGATTTAATTCCAACAAGTTCCAGTAGTCTTAGCCTAACATTCCTCAACTAAACTACACCAAAAACTCCAGATTCTAACCGTTAAAACATCGATTCAATCCATTTCTGCCCTAAAATGGAAAATGGAGAAAAACATCCAACAATCCAAACAATCCATACATAATCATATACATTGACAAGATAATGATATTTTACACCCTTACCTTGATTAATCGGAAGCTAGAAGTCGTTCTGATGATTCCAAGCTTTTCCTCTATTTTCTCATCTTCTCTCTTCTTCCTTCTTTCTTTCTCTTATTTTCCTTTCTCTCTATTTCTATCATTTTCTTTTCACTTTCTCTTATATATCCTTCTGTTTTATTTCTCCTCAATATATCTCATCTTATCATTAATTAGAGAAGATCTAGTAAATTCACCTTATTCTACCAAATAGAATAAATGAGTTAAATCCATTAACTCATATAAATTAAATAGATTTAATAATTCATTAAATCAATTAATTAGTACAAATAATCAATTATAGAAAATTGGGTTGTTACAGAATACACAAGCATTGTCGATTATTCAACTTGGATGTTCATTCATCTCCTTCCATTTCTCATGAATCAAACTACAATGATGTGTAGCTAAACACATTGTATCAAGATTAGATGTAATTAATCTAAACTAGTATGTGTTTCTTTTGATCTTTTATATGTGAACAAATTAATGATCAATGTAGATGATGATCTTTACTTTTATTTAATATTTATGGTTTGAATCATTATTAAGAAATATCTTTCAAGTCTTGATCTAAGTTTATCATCTAACAAAGACCAAAGTTAGACATAGATTTAGAGTTTGATATTCACTTTGTATCAAATCTTAATGTTATTTGTATTGTTTAATAGGTCGAGATATCGTCGATTAAACAATACAGTAAAAGTCGCAATACCGATTAGACATAAGCGATATTGATGAGCGATACATGGTTATATTGATTATAAATGAAGTTCACATGCTAGATAATCGGATACATATGAAATAGGTTGATGAAATCTAGTCTTGATATGCCTTTTAAACGTTAACTTTTCGAATCTTTTGTCGTTGTTACATATTTTCAAGCAATTGATACTTTTCACAATTAAAAACCCTTTGAAACCCTTACTTAAAACATTGTTAACTATAGAACAACAATGATATCACACTAATCCCTGTGCAGAAAATATAAAATACTTACTCATCGAAAACACTTTCAACAAAATAACGTCATTGTCAGAGTTTGACGTTTATATATTGCAAGCATTGCAACAATTTATCTTGCTTTAAGTCATTTTATATTGTTTTAAGCTATCTTATTTATTATCCCTCATGTTCGTAATTTTCTTGGTTAGCATTTTATAATTCTATTTATGTGAGGAAGTGTGCCTGAAGATCAACTTCTTTTTTATCCTATGATTGAAAGAACTACTCGCAGACTTAATAGCAAAACCAGAAGGAGAAGGCAGCTAGCTAAGGAAAGAAAACAACATGAAGGAACTTCTATTGGTACTTCTTCAACAACTTCTATTATTATATGATGGATAACTGTTAGCTGGGATTTTTAACCAATAAGGAAAACCTAGCAAATAAGAGTAAAAATCTTAAATGGGCAGCGGCTCAACTGCGCTTTGGGGACTTAGAGGTTTTTTTGGTTGTTGAAATAAGTGATTCGATAATATCTGCTTTGACCAGGCAGGTAGCGTCGAAGTGAATCTGGTTGAAGAAGTGGTTGTTTGGGCGCGATTTTGTCATGTTCAAATATTGGTAACTTCTTGGGTTCTTATCTCAGAGGGACACGTGGAGAAAATCGGAAAGTAAATTACATGTAGAAGTGCATGTGGCAAACTAATAGGAAAGGAACGTTAGAGGGTAGTTATTTTATAC